CCGGTTGCGAACGCTTCTTAACAAGCCAAAACTGACAACGCCAAAAGCCTGGAACCTCCTCCAGCATCATCGTTTACAGCAGCCATGCAGGTTGGAACATCTTGCTGGTTGCAATGTGGGCGTTCTTAAGCCAAATCCGAGACATATATGCATATATTATACCGTAATATACCATCAAAGTAGACTGTGCTATTGTAATAGAAAGTTCTGCAGCGGGTTCCCGTGCGGGTTCTGTAGCGTTTAGGGCCCGGGTATAGGGTGTGGGGATATCGTTAGGGTTCTAAGGACTCAGATTTTACGGTTTTGTGGCATGTCACTGTGTCTTGGTCGTTTGGGGATTGTGTGAGCACTCATGTTGAGCAGAGTGAGCGGGCGAGGGGTTCCGGAACCTGGGTCGATATGCATACTATCGGGGTCTGGATACCACATGCCCTCGACGGGGTCTGGAGACCCCAAACACTAGCAACCCGTTAGGGATCTTGGTAGCGCCTGTTTGGAGCTTTGGAAGGACCAAGCCCGTTTATGAAATCCCAACAGGCCTTAATCATAGTAAGACATGCAGACAGATATGCAGACATGCAGACAGACGTGCAGACGGGTTGCAAAGTGGGCGTTCTGAGGATCGACAGTTGTAAAGTGGGGATTCGCACAACGAAAACAGAGTCCGTGGTTGTAAAGTGGGGCTTTTGGTTGTAAAGTGGGAATTCTGCTTGCAAAGCGGGTGACTCTCCCCCACCCCCCCGGGAGTCTTTAGCGGTATTCCCTCGCAGGTAGCAGAATTGCTCTATACCAAGAGGCACCATTCCTGCAAAATCCAAAAAATCCTATATTTTCGTGGAGATGTCAGAACCACTTTTGGACGCGTGGATGTATGGGATATTGGAATTTTGGATTTCCATGCGAATCCCAAAATCGAAAACTCCAAGAATGCAAATTTCCAAAAATCCAACATTGGTTCTGGCATCTTCGAAAATATTGGATTTGTGGATTGTTGGATTTTGCAAGAAGTATGCCTTCTGCGGTTGCGCATGTGTCCTGCACGCTTACGTGCAGGGGGTTTGGGTGAGGCATCAATATGGTGCAAATCACGAAGGGGCTTATTTCTATGCAGTTTGTTCCCAGGATGTTGTTTTCAATAGGTTTCCAACTAGAGAATCCAGGGATCTGTTTTTCGAGAGCTGGTGCTTCTGAGACGATGCAGGGTAATTATGGTTTGTGTATACTCGCAACATGCTCATCTCTCACCGAGCAGGTGGTCACTAGCTACTATCCCCGAAGCCAAAGAATTCTCACAAACCCAATCCCTGTGTTTATGCCTCGACTGCATCATATTTCGGTAAATATTAGCAGGTGAATATGCAGGAAGCTTAGCATCTAACTAATAAGTCAATCTTGATGACAAACTTGAACGATTGAAAAGTGCAGTCGTAATACCAGATAGCGAATTATAAGTTAGATAGTGAAAAAGGATAAAAAAGCATGCTTACCTTACAAGGAGAGAGTAATACAGACGAACACACGCCCGAGGCATACCATGACACATACTGCACGTAGCGTCAACAGCAGATGTATGAATTGCTTTCGATATTTACGAACGATGCAGAGAAAGTTCGATAAACTCATCTACGTAATGACTAAGCGTAGAGCAAGTAACAGCTACATTACTACATATGAGCGAAGTCTAGCTAAACTTGTGCGGTACACAAAAATTGCTATACCACGAAATAACATTTTGTTAGCAGTCAAGATCTTAAGCGTATACACGTGAAATACTAGTCAAATACTATTTGAACAATGAAGCAATAAAATGCAATAAACACATTCTACCCACGAGTTATCTAAGTCAAACGTGTCACGTGTTTGTTAAACTTGACATCTTCACACTTCACCCAATATTGAACATCAGGTATGAGCCAGCGAATATGCAAGGAGCGTAGCATCTAACTGATATGCCAATATCGATGAACACTTTGAGCGGTTGTTTGGGTGATCGCAGGAGACGTAGTGGTTGAATAACTACTTGCTCATTGTTTAGACATTCAGAAAGCAATGTTTCATTGAAAGGGAAAGAGTAACAAATGCTAACATGCGCTGAACTCGTATCATAACATATACTGCATTTAACGTCAACAGCACCTGGATGAGTTTGCTTCAATATCAATTCACTAGGCAGCAAAAGGAGAACAACCGTTAAATTCATTTGCGTAATGACTAAGCAGCGGGAGTGACAGCTATATCACTACATATGAGCGAAGTCTAGCTAGACATTTCCTGCACAAAGTTGCTCTACCATGAAATCTGATTCAACGTATTCTGAGTGGTCCTTCATTAGCAGCCAATGTGCTAAGCATATTCGAGTGAGATAGTCCAATATTCTTTAAACATAAAGCCGTGAACACATGCTATCCACGTAATAGCTAAGGCAAACCTGTGAGATGTTTGTTAAACTTGGTATTAGACAGAAGGACATAATCCGTCATCGAACACCAACTGGTCATCCAACACAGGTTTCCATAAATGTTAGGTAAATACTAACCTTTGGCACGAACTGTTTGATTCGATGGTATATAAATGCGCAAACAAACGGCAGGTCGATATCAGTGTAGAGTTAACCACCGAAGCCGAAGTTTGCTTCAAATACCCAATCACCGTCATTAGCGAATCTGTTGCTTTGGCGTGTTGCTGCCTTAGTTGCAACATGAAAAAACTGATCTGCTTCGTTTGTGATTGTTGTTACTCGTGTGTATTTAATGCTCCTGTCACTGTAGCTAGTATTGCCACATTACGTCTGTCTTTTAGATGCTGAGAACCCCTGTCACAAGCGCATAATCATAAATGCTACTGTCATTCGTACAGAAAGGTCAAAGTAGTGGCACGCTAACATAAACATAATTGCATTAGAACTGGCTCTTGTTCGCTATGTAATTGCTTAAAGCCAGCCCTGATTATTCATAAATGACCATGACTTTGACGTCCATCAGTATATGCGTGTATACTTCTAGAAATCCAACATTCGGTTGTACGATAGCTTGTCTTACTACTTCATGAGATGTGATATCAGGGTAGATTCAAACACATCTTCTCCTGCAAAGGCAATACCGCAAAGGGATCTTTCGTGGTTTACAACTAGCTACTGTTTATTTGCTTTTGGCTTCTGCTTGAACCTGTCTCCAGTACATAAACTATACTTGTTTGAATGCTCCTTTAATGACGCTGATTGTGATAGGACTAACGAATCCGCTCCTCCCAAACACATGCTGGAAACTACTCCGCGGGTCCAGCATTCTCTAAACCATGCAATTTCGCGGTGTCATGCTGCGTACGAGTTATATCATAGTAATATCACAAATCTAAAGAGCCCCCACACTGCTCGCGCGTTTGCATCCTGACTCCGGAGTACGCCTCCTTCAAACACCGAAAACGTGGGCACATGAGGGAGGGGGTGCATACGAAGACGTCGAGTTATCTGACAAGAAAGGGTGGGCACATGGGCGGCGGGGTACCATATGTCATGTACATACATACATACATACATACATACATACATACATACATACATACATACACACATGCATACATGCATGCATCTTGGCAGAGCCAGTGCAGCAGTTGGAGTATGCTCTTTTAGTCAAGGTGTGTTACAAACTTACGGCTTGATCGCGCCATGCAGGGTGACAGACAAGCCCAGCGAATTGGGCATCAAGAGCATTGATGTCAAGGCCGGAAGCCATCCATGAGCCGAGCAGCCATGCCTCAATTTTTTTGGCATCCACACGTGGGTCTACTGGGGGGTTCCCATCAAGCCTGTTGCTGTGACTACGGCTTCGAGGCCGGACCAAACCTTTTGGCCTCGGATCCGACGGCCTCGCCGAGCAGTGATGCCCCGCGGCCGAATTGAGCTGACGAGTGTGAGCTCGGTGCACTTCTGGCTGCCAGCCGCACGCTTGCAGGCACCACGAGATGTGTCAGATGAAGAGGACGTGAAGGCCAGAATTGAGGCGGAAGTGGAGGAAAGGTTGAAGAGGCCGAGAGCTGAAGCATTTGTGGATCATGGGGTGTTTCGCAGGCTTACCACATGCGCTGTCCAGGAGAGAGGAGGAGAAACAGAAGGAGGAAGAGAAAGATGAAGATACTGAGAACTACTCGAACTTCTTGCTCTTTGGATTGCTGGGCCTCGCTGCTCTCATCCGCTTTGTTTGTAAGGCCCGAAGAGGGACCGGGATCAGCCCGGGTGGTTTGCTGGGGTATGAAAGCTCCAAAGCCATGGTGCGCAGGCCCTTCCAGAGAAGGAAAACTCGTCCTATCTGATCCTGCAAGATGCCTCGCCAACGAACCGGCAAGCTCCGAAGCAAAATGGCAGAGTCAAGACTGTGCAGCCGAAGAGACCTGGCCCGAAGGTTACCGGTCAAGCTAACCTCAGCCATGTTCAGATTCGTCTAAGTCTAGACTCCAGAGAAGCGGGCCTGCGCCCGGGGTACAGCCCGAACTGTTGCACCAAGGAGGCCGCAAGACACCGTAGTGGCTCGCCTGCAGGTTGGAGCGTAGCATGAGCTCAAGAACCCCGATTGTTTGGACTAGTTCGGATGCCAGTGCTCAGGTTGTAGAATCCTGGCCTTGTGTCAAGCCAAGGAGAGCAAGCCTACGGTTTCTACCGACAAAGGCGAGCATCTAGGACGTATCTTGAGACTACGCCCACTGTCATCTGCAAGGCTGCATGATCCGTGATCTGCCCAGCCGCCCAGCCCCTTTCAGGCCGCCGCCCACCAGCTGGTTCAAGGTGAGCTCGGCCTTCTGTGGGATTGATGGCCTCGCAAGGCGCGACACGCAGAGGCTTCCCGAAAGTGACTCCTTTTTGAAGGCAAGCCGGACCAAAATCCGTTCGAGTCGTTTTACAAGGATTCTTGCCGATGTATATACGTTGTCCAGGCCAAGTTGAGAAAGACCAACATAGCGTCTATCGCCTGTGACTGCTAACGATTCTAGCATGCAGGTGGACAAGTCAAAATTCATTGATCTTGAACTTTATTAGTTTTGCAGGGTTTACGGTACGCGGGGTGAGCTGTGACAGCTGCTCCATCTGCCCATACTCGCTACTTACTTTTGTAGGATGATGCAGGGATGCATGCCAAGCATCTTCGCATTACCCTTCTCTTGTTCTCTGCATCATCAAGTCGGAGCTTCTCCGGCAAAACCAGGACGTCGTTTCACCACTGTAGATCCAGCGTGCCATATTCCTCTACAGGCACATTGAAACGAGATGCATTGAAAGAGTCATGTCGCTTCGGTTGCAGTGGAGCTCCGAGAGCAGATGCTGTTACAGGTTCCGAAGCTTTGAGCGACGGCCAGACAGAAGCCGCCTTGCTGTCGCAGGATCTTCTCTTTGACTCTGCGGCTGTGGCTGTGGCACTACGACGCTTAGTAATCAAGCAGCAGCCTGCAGACGCACCTGCACGGATCTCAGTTTGCTAGCCGGGTGCTAGCCGACATACTGACCATTCGATGCCGCACCTGCGCCGAGCAACACCATCATTTGCGACGTATACATCGTCAGAGTCACTCGCAGTCTATTGTAGTACCTGGATGCGCTGCAAAACGATCAACCGCATTCACACGCTTTCATGATGTAGGTGCATCCACCGGCGCATGACATGTGGTGGCACCAGGCTATCGAGTGCTACAGGCCACAGACATATTGTAAATGACTTACTTGACCTTCTGCCAAGTGGATTCCGGACGGAGGCAGTGTGGTTCCTTCACGTGCGAGCAGGGCGATGCCATCGATGCTCCCGTTGCCGGTCTTAGAGGTGCCGAGGGGAAATGCCGAGCATCGAAGATCAATAGCCGGCCCGCGCAATCGTTTGTGATGTGCTCCAGGAGCCCTTGGCTATGCCGCTGCCTCAGGATACCTGGGCAGTTCATGACACCGTTACCATTGCAAACGCGGGATGGGTTGTGCAGTTCAGTCAGCGCGGCACGTCGTAAGCACTGGATTGCAACAGGCACGTGCGCTCTGCCCAGCAGCACGCCGCATCACGCCGCTAGATCACATGACATGGCTGCTGCACGAGGCTGAGCAGGATTGGCGGACCTGGGCCTCGACTGCAGTGACGCAGCTGGACGAAGCCAGGATAAACTTCCGCACCGGTCCCAGAGTAAGAAGACTTGTTCTCCAGATCCTGTAAAGTACCAGCATACGAAGGCCGGGCAACCTCCTCCGATCAGGACGGGGCCGGCAATCGGATTTGGACCAGCTTGTCGTGCTGCATTTGGCCTTGCCGGAGGATGATGCTCAGACACTTCGGCTTGACCCATCGGACAGCAGAAAGTACACGTGCGGGACTTGCGCTCTTGCGACTTGGAAATTTCTCCATCCAAACCTCAGGCTTGAGGAGTTGTCGGCGCCCTGGATGCTGGCATCCGCTTTGTTTCCTTTGTAGATATCTCTAGGTGCAGCAAGTATACCAGCCTCTCGCGTTTCGATGCCGAGCAGTGCGCCAGTGAGCAAGTCTCCGTCCGGAGGAACCACAGTCAACTGCTGGGCGAGGTACTTTTGGAGCCACTGTTGGACCACAGAGGACACTTGTAGCAGAGAGGTTGCATTGTAATTACTCCTCTTAGCTGCTGGGCACCCCTCTTTGCAAATGAGATCTAACTCGTGGACGACCCTCTGCGCGTCTCGGATCATGATTTTTCTTCCTTTGAGGCGCTTTGTGCCAGTAAAAGATGTGGGGGCATGTTCAGAAAAGGCTGCAGTCAAGAGCTTCGGAGACTTGCTCTTGACTACATCGACTGCATGTAGCAGGCTTGGCCTGAAGAATGATCGGACCCATGGTTTCGAGGGAGTTTGGGAGCGGCTGATTGAAGATGGGGAGGGCTCTGGAGAAGGCAGAGACAAAGCAACGTGCTGCAATGTGCGAGGATTTTTCGAGTCAGACTCGGCCTTTTGAGTTCGATGGCGTTTGGAACTATTCGTCGGTTCCCAATGCTGGGATTGTCAGCTTTCGCACCGGCTGCGCAAGCTGAGGTCTGGATGCTGCACCATCAAAGCTGGAGCAGCTTGACTGCAGTACGCCTGCAAAGATGCACAGGCTTCTTCAATGCCTGCGTTTGACGGAAGGTGTTCAAGCAGAGGTTCGGGGAGCTCGCAAGTCCGCAAGCCACCCATGCCTGGAGGAAATTAGCTGGCAGAGTGGACTGCAGACCTACATCCAAGCCACGAGCGATGTTGCGCGCCGGGCTTGGCATCCGAGAGCCCTAGCTGCGATTGAGCACGGTGTGCTGAGAGCAGAGGTTCAACATGGAGCTGGATGGAGAGATGTTTCAGGAGCCCGGAACTGGCTTTGTGCTTCTTGCGAGCGTCGGCGGCCTCAGGGCAAGCTGGCAGACGGCAATCGCCTCATCTTCAGCGACGGAGACGTGCGGGCCCCCAGCAGTGGAGGTTTGAAGGAAATGGGAGTTTCAGAAAGTTAGGGGTACCTTATTTTGGGGTCCTTATAATAGGGATCCTATTATTTAGGGTACTATATTAGGGTCCCCTATTTTGGGAGACCCCCAAATGGGTGCCGAGCGAGGTCTGGTGTCGGGAGGTCACAGAGGATGGCGGCAGCACCTCCGCGAGGCCGGGCTTCTGGGCTCACAAGATCCCGAGACCTAAAGAACGGGAGGGGTAGATCGGCTTGTTTAGTGTTCCGGAAAGCATTCCAAAAGCATTCCTGAAAAGCGTGGGGAAAAGCATTCTGATTTTGATGCAGAGTTGAAAAGTATTCCAAAATGTGTTGCTGAAGTGTTCCATGGGGACCCTCTGACCAAAAGAGTGTTCCAAAAGGCATTTCAATGGAGCGCTTTGCGGAACACTTTTTGGAATACTTTTTTGGAACGCGTTTTGGAATGCTTCTGGCTTGGATCTGGAGAGGACGGGCCTCCCAAAAGGCATTCCAAAAAGTGTTCTCAAAACAATGCTGCTGAAAGAGGATTCCCAAAAGTGTTCCAAATTGTGTTCCCAGCCGGAAGCTGTCAGATGCAAGGGTGCTCTCTCGGAATGCTTTTTGGAACACTTGTTCAAAATCTCGAGCACTATTCTTCAGGCTTTTCAGGAACACATTCAGAATGCTTTTTGGAACACTATTAATTAACAATCAGGATTCAGGCCTCCGGCTCCTGGAAGATCTCGTAATTCTGGGCCTTCCCTCCTTCCACAAAGTCTATCGCGCAGTCGCTGGAGGAGCCTCGAAGCAGCGGGCCGTCCTGGCGAGGCACGACGCGAAGCTGGGCTCTGGCGCGCCACTGCGCGCTGTTGGAGGCCGACCGCGGTGCGGCTTCCGAAGTCCATCTCCCTGCGCCAGAGGAGCGTCGCGACCTTTTTCTGCTCATGCACTGCATCTGGTGCTCCATCAGGACGAGCTCGACGAGCCAGTCACCATCGAGCCGGAGGAAAGCCTCGGGAACACGGTTACCAGCGAGTCTGCACCCTACCCTGCACCAAATGCGCTGGGTCGGCCACTTCGTGTTTTGAAGGGCCGCAGTGCTGGATGCCGTGGCAGGCATTTTCGGGGAGGCGTTTCGTGATGCAAGTCTCCAGACGGCAGGAAACTGCAAAAAGGCATCTGATGCGTCTGCAGGCCGTGGCCAGGTCCGATGTGGATGTCGCACGCCGCTGCCTGCAGCAAGCCTGGAACCCGTGAGCCCGTGAGAGAGCACCGACAATCATGCAGCCACAAGAATCCACAAGGCATCTTGTACTCGTACACCGCGTACCGAAGGGAGGAAGGCCGAGGAAGGAGGAGATGTGTATTTCCAGGAAGAAGAGCAGGACGCATGGAGCAGACGGGAAGGAGCCGAACGCCTCAAAGCGCTTCCTGAGGTGGAGCTTCTGGGGGGCCAAAATGCAGCTGGAGCCTTGGATATCCTTTAGATTTTTTTGTTTGCGCTGGCTTCGCTTTCTGCACTAAAGAGGTCCAGCACGTGCTTGCTCATCCAGCCTCGGCGGATGCTTTTGGCCACCTGCCGTTCGTCGGTTCAGCTGCTGATGATTCCCAGACGATCGTTTGGTGCCGAGCATGCGCCTGCTCGATTCATGCTGCCGTTGCTCTGTATGACGAGGTCAGGCTCCTTCTCGAAGCACGGGCAGACATCGACGACCTGGCAGTTTTGCTGGCCTGTACTTTATGTTTGCTATGTACTCGCGCCCACAGAATCAGGAGCTTAAACTCATTGACAGGCTTCGCGAAGCAAGGTAGCACTGGCCGGGGCCTGGGTAGCTTCAAACTCAATTGGCATGTTGACCGTGATGGCCGAGGCCGCACCCTTCAATGCCAGTGGCAAACCCGCAAAAGGCACCGGGCGACATCGGTGGTCTTGTGGGCCCATAGCCCGCATCGTCCAGGTTCTGCATCGACAGAGCGGGATTCGAGCTCGTCAGACCCTGTGGACGTGTGCTTCCAGCATGGAGATCGCAGGGCAAAAGCGAACCTGAGCCAGAATGGGCAGCGGCCTCGAGAGGTTCACTGCCATGTTGCCTCTGTGCCCCTGTGCTGACGCGAGGCTGAATGTCGAAGATCCGGACCCACCAAGTGTCTTCGAACCTGCACAGGCGAACTTGTTCTAGCACCTACTGCACACTGCTATCGATGTAGTAATAGTACATATTGTCGTGTAGAGGACGCAGACCCGAGAAGTGCACGCCTCGGTGCGTAAAGTCGAAAGGCCCTGCTGTACTGAAGCCCTGGCCTGAGCTCTCAGGTGTGCTGGGACTCCTGCAGGCAGAGTGTCGAGCCTGTGGACTTCAGGCTGATGGCGGGTGCCTGAGGCCATTGAGCGTTTTCTTGTGGCACCGGCTCGTGATAAGTTGCTGAGGCACAGAACCAGAACTGGTCGGAGACTCGTTTAGGAGTTTCACGGACTTTCGGAGCTGGCTCATGATGAGCCGCTTGCCGTTTCCAGGTCGAGAGGCTTGCAAGGTTTCTTGTCCGGAGGTGCACTGATGCAACGAGCTTGCGTTTCCTTTGTGCAGCAGTTGCTTGGTTGGATCGTTGCGCCAGGTCACCCGCAGTCAAAGATGACGATAGTTCGTTCCTCAGACAGTTCTATGGTACAGCAGTGCATGAAGCGTGCTTGCCGTGTCGATGTCCTGCACGTGTCTGCCAGCCTATCTGCAGCCTCAGACGCTAATATGCGCCATGGCTGTTGCTCCCGATGACCTGGAGCCAAAGAAGAAGCAACAGGCCAAGGGTGTTTGCGGTTGTCCTCGACATGCCACCCGCAAAGCCCGGTTGTCACAGTAGGCATGGAGGTGGCAGTCTGACCATGCCCGAGTGTGTCCAGCCAGGCTTTTGGAGCTCACCACGTGCCGCAGGGTGTGAACAAGGCACTCGCATGCCAGAGGAAGTGGCAGAAACGCGAGTTGAGTCTCGGAGAACGACAACCAAGCATCACCGACAGAAGCAGCACCAGTTTCAGCAAGTACTAGTGGCTATGCCGCGGTAAGCGGCTGCAAAGCAAGCTTCATCAGCAGCCAAGCTGTTTTTGTCATAGTGTGGCCCAGTCCTACATTCCATAGAAGCTTTTCCTTGTCGTTCAGAGTCCAGGATGAAGGCCACCTTTCTTCCATCCTTTCGCGCGCACAAACAGCGCAGTCTGAACATGCAAGCTGTGTGGCCAGGTATGCTTTTTCACGATAAGTGATTTTGTCGAAGACAAAGTTAGAGAGTCCTGGCAGCAAGCAACAGTCCTCGACTGATTTCCTTGGACGGTCATCGCTCTTGTGCTGCCTTTGCCCGCGCAAGTTAATGAAGCTTTGTAGCTCTCAGCAGGGTGCGATAAGGTTCGTTGCTTGAATGTCGTTGCCTTCTCCTTGATATACGTTTACTTCGTGCCACCTAGCTGCAACGATCCGTTACAGGAGACATGTTCAGTGCGTCTGGCCACCTGCAATCTGAACTGCTCCTTTCCAAAGGTTTGCGCTGCTAAAGACCGTGCCTTCCCCCGAGCCTCGTTTAAAGGCTGTTCCTTGGCCAGCAAGAAGGCCGAGGAACCGCTACGACAGCAACATACAGAAGATAAATTCTTCTACTGCAGCAAGTGAGCACACACCCATAAACATGTCCAAGCCATCGGCATCACTCGCCAACGCGTTGTTGACACAGGTTCAGGTCAGCCAGACTTTCGTTTCATGACTGCGCATGTGACGGGTGCCTCTTCGAAGGTGCGTTTTGCGAGTCCTCCACCCACTGCATGGGTCTCCGGAGAGCTATCGACGGACATGAGAAGTTTCTTCATCGGAAGCTTGGACTTCGGAAGTGGATCTTGAGCTGGGTTTTGTTTGATTTTCTCTGTTGCAACTCAGCTCCGGCCGGTCTGCTGTGGCCTCCGAGGAACAGGCAGTCTCCCAAATCGATCGCAAAGGCTCTGGGCCGTGGATGACACTGGGAGTCCGATGGTCAATGCGCAGGTGGAGGTGCCTTTGACCGCATGCTGCTGCCTGCCCTGACTGTCGAGAGATCTGGCAAACGTCTAACTGCTTGTAGCCCGCTCGTATGGGAAGTTCTCGCGTGCCGCCGAAAGGGGCCTGCCCCTTTCATAGGTGCGCGCTTCCAACTTTGTTAGTGACGGGCCACTTCCGTGCTCCAAGGCAGGGCAGAGCTGAAAGACAAATGCTTCCGTTCCCCACATAAACGTCTTGCAGGCGCAGATGGATGCCATGGTTGGCACGCTGGAAGCGCGACGTCTTCACCATGCCAGGGCCTCCGGAAGTGCGACTGTTGGACAACTCTTGCTGATGCGTTTCCGCACGGAACACCCGGCAGGTCTGCAAATACGACATTCTCTACAATGCAGGTACTTGCCCCAGCAACAGTGGCCGAGGGTGACATGCGAATTGTCTTGAAGCTGGTGATGGGCCGAGGCCCAACCAATGACTTGGGACTTGTCACACTGACGGACTTCGCGATCCAGGGCCCTGCGGGTTTGTATACGCTGGTACCATCTGCGGGCGGCTTCGATTCTACCGAGGCTTGTGGCAACGGTGGGCAGATGTGAGCTTTCTTTTCTGGTCTGTCAGGGCTCTTCCGTGCTGGTCTCCACGCCTGTTGCGAGCATGGAGGTGGTGAACCTGAGCACGTCCCATGGTTGCCATCATTTCGCTGTAAGGCAGGAGCTCCCTCCCCCGTGAGTGCAGTGCTTACCTCGAGGCCGGACCTTGACCCCGTCGTTCCGCCCACCGGCGTCAAGGCTTTACAGAAGTCTGGAGTGACTGCGGACCGCAGCGGCCTGGGCGTGAGCCTGGTCGTGAGCAGGTTGGAGACCCGTTCCCCTGGCAGCCGACGCTGCTCCTTCGCGACATGAACGGGCTGCCAGCCCCAGGTCGCAGGGCCAAGCCCTCAGACTGGCCATTGCCACCACTTTCCGGGACCTGTCTTGGGATCTGAGATCGTGGCCTTTGCGAATCCCGATCCCGCGTGGCCGCCGGAAGGGGATGCGTCTCGTGTGGAGGAGTACGAAAGACGAGGGCAGAAGGCGCCACCAGAGTGCCATTAGCGTCGTGGCGTGGCTGACTCCACTTGCCTCGACAGGTGGTGGAGTTGACGCTCGGCGATGCCAGAGTGCTCTGTTGACCTGGGTCAGAGATATATCGCAGCGAGGGTTGAAATGGGAGTGGGCGGGGGTTATCACCCCACTGCCTGGGTTTTCTCGGATGCATTACTTTCTTCGGAGTCGGTAGGGCTTTCATGTGCCCTCAGATTCCGAAACCTTCCAGGGTTTCAGTGCCAAGCCTTATCGATTGAAGGCTGGTGGAGCAGTAGGTCGCGCCACAGACAGGAGCGAAGACTCCGAAATATGCGATATTTTTCGACGGGCTGAAGGATTGGCAGAAGGGTTGTGCATGGTGGTGCAATTCTGTAACCGGGCAAATAGCTCATCGTTTCCTGTGTCGCACGATGCACATAAATCGTGACGACTGACAGAGCTTTTTCGAATGCTGGTGACAGAGATGTGGAAGATGTAGTGGTTACCTCGAGCGGATGTGTTTTCATCGGAAACACGGCCTTTCAACCGGCTTGGGGGTAGCAGTGAATGCAGTGAAACATAGTATCAGGAGGGGAATCGCCGCAGTGTCGGAGGAAGGAGAAACCGCGACAAAAAGACAGAAACTCTGCAAGCGGGTGTAAAGAATGGAAGAGGATGCGAATATCAAAACTCTGTATGATGTTGTCGATTTCGGAAGCATCTTCGAACAATTTTCCTTTGCTCGGTACAGAGGTTCAGTAACTGTGGGTTGAAGCGCTATTAGCCCACCAAATGCACTACTTATGCTGCTGTTCTTAACGTTCTGACCAGCGCCTGTTCATCTGTGCCCCGTTTTTTTCCATCAGCATGAATGCACAAGAAAGGAATTGCCCCCAGTCGGAGCCTTCAGATGCAAGTGGCATCGTCGCGGGCTCAGAGTCCAGCGGTTCAGCTAGGCAGCTAGGATGCGTTGACACCGCCCCCTGCAGGCAAGATTCACATGCCTGGGTGTAAACAGCACCAGCGCGCCTAGGATGCACTGCTGTTGCTGCATTCTGGATGCATCGGGAAAAGCCTGGCAACTGCTCTTTGCAGGTGGACCACGTGAACATCGTGTTCTCTGACAGTGCGCTCGTTTTCAGTCCCTGGAATGACCCCGTCTATTCTCCAAGGAAAACGATGCGGTGCATGCTTCCAGACCTGTCCGAGCGCGTATTTTTTTGACATGTTGCAGGAACCTCTATCCTCTGCCCGTCCAGAAGTTCCGCTACCCAATCTCGCTGTCACCAAGGGTTTCTTCCGTGCAGGCCTGTTACCCCTTTGTTTTGGGGAAGTAGTTTGGTGTGCGGGCATCTCGACATTCGCAGTTGCGCGAGATTCGCAGTTGCGCCAGGTTTCAACGAAGACGCTTGACATTAGCAATTAGATCCCATCTCTGATCTTTTTCCTCCCGAGCTTTTGTTTGGAAAGTGCGCAAGTACGCAACATTCAAGTGAATCTAAGGGTCCCCTTAGTCGTGACGGAAGGAGTTCCGCATCTTTGCAGCACTGAGAGCACGTGGCATGCGTTACGAATGATCGAGTCTGCATCATTCTGCATCTGTACTTGGCGACTTTGTCGCATGGGTTTCGTGCCGGTCGTCATGCCTCGAGCAGCAATTGGGATCGGCACCAACGAAAGTATGTCTCTAAACCAGGCTTAGGCCCAGCCTCCAAGAGGAAGGTGGGCTGGAGGGACGTCAAAACTCAGGTGCCAGTGTAGATTGAGTAGCATGTTCGACAGTGGAGAGAAGTCGAGACATGACCGACAAAGCTTGCTCCTGCTGCAGATTCGAGCCACAACCGGTGGTAGCGGTGCAAGATGAAAACGGGCAGCCCGTGCCAGGGGCTGCTTGGCAGCGTCCTCCTTGTACCGGATGTTTTTGCATGTCGCGACATGTTCACCTACTCGCTGAGTTAATGCATGCCAAGGTGAGATGCTACGTGCCCGGGCATTTTTATCATGCTTGTTCGGTCAAGGCTGCTTCTGAATCCCGCATGTGCGGGATCCCATAGTGCTCGCCAGTCTTCGACATGACAGAACATGCCACTATGGACTGCAAACTGTGGCTTGCCCCCAGGCCCTGCTGTCGATGGAGGGATCGCTGCGGAATCCCAACTGGTTTCGCCGCAAACTCAAAGGTTTCAAGGGGAAGGACCTGCCATCGTGCTTTTGAAGGGATGCTTCAGCCCAGGAGCAAACAGTTTCAGGGACCAAAAGTGTCTGTCCTGTTGGCGAGGAGCTATTGAACGCGGAAGCCGTAACAGATGCCAGTGGGATGGCGCAGCAGCTTGCTTCCGTATTGTCAGCTGCATGTGTCAGCCCTTCCACTGCTGGCACTCGTCTTGTCATTGCAAGCCTCAAAAGGAAGAGTCATGTATTTGAGGTTTCGCGAGCTCAAGCTGCCACTCGACCGTGCATGAAGCTCCGATGCGGGCAGTATTCCACTTCTTTGTTGCCTTTCCAAAACTAGTCGGTCTGGACTCGAGTTGTGCCATGTAAAGGCCAAGCTGTCTCTCAAAA